CGATATGCTTGCACATGTATTCCCATACTTCAACCGCTTCCCATCTTCAAACGGTTTCAGCTTAGGCAATTTGTTGCATGTCGTTAATTCGTGGAACAATCAACGCATTCCGATGATCTGCATGATCTGAATGTCTGTTTCTGTTCTCTTCATCAGAGTGAACATTCTTATTGCTGTCAGGAATGTTCAGTTCCCGCACTGGAGTAGGCCGTAAATATATATAAGAGATAATCTAATGGAAGCATTCGTTTACCTCAATAAAGATTTACCAGCATCATCGGATATGCTTTACCATGCAACCAAAGTTGCCAAACTTCAAGTGGACCCAAGTTTATGGTTAATTGTGCAATGAATTCTAATTCTGTGAATCAATCGAAGGTAAATGAGGAAGTACGGAAAACCGAGTCATCACCAAACGGGTCTCGAGTGGCTTAGGTGTTCGCATGCACAAGAACGTCTTATCATTCTCGCTCAGTAGCTAGTTTTATATTTGACAACGTCTCTGTTACTTGTCCGGGTTTGTACTATGGTGACTGCTTCTATGCCGGCTGCGAGTCTTACGAACAAGACAAGACATTCGGACAATTTTATGTATTTTATGCATGGTGTCGTTTTAAGGTAATTCGCTTATTTTGCCTCGTTCTACCAGTTTGCTTGTCCTGGCTCTAAATCGCAATGCAAAGATTGAACTGTGATTCAGAATGATTTCTGAACTCTTGACCGTCCTTATTGGATCACTGTTTCCGTCTGACTTCTCCACCTGCGCTATCTTAAATTCGACTAGGTCATGCATTTGGCTGAGACGTTGGTTGCGGAAGGTCTCGATCCGGGCAGTGTGGTGCTGTCCTCCTTGGTCCCGATTGTGGCCGATCTGTACGTGATCCAGAGACCGCTGAACGTGGCTCCTGTGAAGGATTCTACATCATTGCCCTCGTCTCCCGAGTAAGTTCAATATTACCGGTGTTCACTTATTCGGGTCAGTGAATAAAAGTATTGTGTATCCATGTCTCTTTTTTCTCCAGCGATTGAAGAACGAAACTTTCGTTGGTCGGCACAAAGATTGCAGGAGCCGAAACATGCAATTATCTATTCTGCTACAACAACTTTTTCCTCCTGATTTCGTGGCGTTTTCTGTTTTCGGAGCATCTTAGTTTTCACCAGAATCGAGCATCCTATCCTGCTGATGGCAAATGCAATGGATATTGTGCATAGCCAATACCCGAAAGCGATCACGGTTTGAACTGTGCGGTTCATGCATCACTGACCTAGTTTCACAGCACTGGGAGACCAGCGGTCGCAAGTTCAGCGTTGGTTTATAGCGGTCCCCGATTAGGGCAAGGATACTGCCTTCGTTAATCGTGCTAACTGGAGCATTTCGTACGTGTCACCAGATATAATCCCCTTCTGTGCAATGTTTGTTGATGCTTTCAATACCAGACGGCCGTATCATGACCATACAATTCGGGATCACAATCCCACTCTGTGCAATTCTGCTATTATCTCCCTCTGCTCTAGGCTTTAGGTGTTGACTTTGTTCTGGCGACTTCCATCGGAATTACTCAGAAAACTGTGGTGTATGAAACAGTCATCAAGAAACTAAACTACGTTAGTTTGATCATCTCTTTGGTTACAGATGAACAGAATGATATCAATTCAGATACAAAAGCTTTGCGAGAATTTTTCCAAGTAGTGTGAAAAGCAGATTTTCCGTTTGTGCTTGTTTGTCAGAAGGTAAAGAATATTCTCACAAATCAAGCAGAGTGGCGAGCATGTTCGTTCGCACCGATTTCTCATGTCTCACGGTAGAATTTTGGGTTGAGGGGCATTTTTTATTGGCTCTGGGTATTGACTTTGAGATTGCTCCTTCCATCGTGATTGCCCTTTCGTTCTCACATGTACCCACACAACTAACTTTCCTACTGACTGTGTTTTTCCTTTCTTCGTGATTTGCGCAGCTTTTAATCTTTCAATCTAGCAGGAGATTGTTTAGTTATCAATTCGGAATGTTCATGACCTTCCTATTGTTTACTGTTGTCAAGACGTTTGATGATGGTCTTCCTATGGACACGGTAGTGTTCTGCGGGTTATTCTAAATACGTCAAATAGCAAACAAGGTTTTAATTCTCACTGATGTCAGTTGAGTATTTCCCTTTTCTCAGCTGACCGATGCGATCGATCGATGAAAGAACTTAATCGATCCTTTATCAGACGTGAAGAACATAACTAGGAAAGGAGCATATGCTTTTCAGGTGCTCGCAGAAGGTTCTCGAGTGCTATGGCTACAAACGGCACAGCAACATTACCTGGCACTTGTGCCCAACATGAGAAGCGCGACCGATTTACGCCCATCACACCGGTGGATAACAGCTAACAATAGGAATGCCACAAGCATTTCAACCCGGTGATTAACAAGCCAATGTCCTTTTGAGGGATAACAGGTTGCGAAAATCGCGAGCAACTATCCAATCACAGAGCTTACACTCTCAAAGAATAAATCGGTTGTGTGGGGTCTCGTGTGACAGGGAAGAGATAATCGCGATCGAACGAGCAGTGGCTCTGTGAATATTGAGGAAGGATCCGCGGCCAATTCGAATTTGTCAACTAATACAAGTGGGAAGTAAGAGCTGTGTTGGTTATGCTCACAACCTACTAGGTTGTTGTGGGCATTTTGCTCATGCCAATTGATCGCCACCGCTAGAGGTGTAAAATTCACACTGAATTCATGCATTCAGATGATTGTCCAGTCCCTTTAGCTGTGTGAGTGGTTCTCAGCACACAAAACGTGGAGGAAAGCTCGTAAATGAATTCGTATCGCTTGTGCTGACAACACACGACAACACACATGCCCTAATAGTCTATCCTGAAAGCCATACATCGGGTGGAATGCCTCGGGCGTAGAACAACTGCGCTGATGAATGACTCAGCTGTTTCCTTGTTTAGCCACTCAGCGTGGTGCTCACAGATCCTCTCCCACACAGGAACAAGGAGGTCGGAGATCGAATGGGCTGAAAGCATTTTGTGCACTAACAAATCTGAATGCAATATTACGCGTTGGATGTTCTCATTTGTATGACTTTCCTACTGTATTGCTTTTGAACGAGAATCAGATGTGTACGCATTTCCACATAAAATTTATCTTCCTCAGATTGTCAGCAATCTAGTTTAATCTACACAAACTGAATGAACAAATGTCATTGTGTCAGGTGAAATTATTCGAGAAAAATTGTAAATGCTATATTACATTCGCAGGCAAGCAGAAGTTCAACGTGAAGCTGTCCTTGGATTCATGTTACGCCGACTTGCTCACCTACCCGCCAGTTACGATCAACTATGCCTGATTTTAGAGGAAGCTGCTTTGAATCCGAACTCTGTCGATGACGGTGACCCGAATTCGACTGGTGATCGGTTGTATAAAGTGATTGAGTCGGTGAGTTACGAGTGTACTCCTACCCCTCTGTTCCACACTGAGCGATGTGCACTCATCCGGTGAAGATATGTTCGCAACGGTTTCATTCATTGGGGGTTACCTTTCTATTAGTGCACTTTTCACCCGAATCTCTTTCCGTTCGAATGATGTATTGTCTAACTGGCAGATTACCGGCCTTGCATGTCCCTCCTTACTACCTTCGGGGTAGAAGTACTTTTTCAAAAGCCCAAAATACGGTCCTTCTTACTTTGGTTTAGCTTACAGACGGGTGCAACAACCTACAACACCGAAATTACCGTGGTAACCAAGATTAAAAAGATTTGCTCGGTCTTTTTCAGGCATAGTCATGTGCCGTCTTTCTGTGCAGCGGCATCTTATGTGTGATGAGCGTCACATAATTGATAACCCATCCAGCAAATACGATTAGAGCATAAGAGGAACGCTTTCAGATAGAGTTTATTCAATATTGAATGGGGGTAGTGCAGTTATGAGGAAAAATAGGATAAAACCATTATATTCCGAAGGAGAGGGGGGGGGGGGTTTTTCCTGTG